TTATGAGGGTTTAGTGTGTTCTGTTGTGGGTCTGCTCTCCAGCCTCACTTGGTGAGCTATTCTCTCACTTACTATGTTTATATACATATATACACATATATGTGCTCACACATAGACATACATATGTACATGTATTTGTGTCTATATAATACTTACTTGAAGATAATGCCACTCAGAAAGATTATGTTTCCTTTCTGCTTCAATTTTCATTTTCCTTCTCAAGTAATTTATATATCTCTGTCTTTACCTCAAGTGGGTTTATGGATAGTAGTTAACACATACTTTTTGTTGTTGTTGTTAGTCATGGGGCCTGAACTCTGGGCCTGGGTGCTGTCCCTCAGCTCTTCAGCTCAAGGACATCACTCTACCACTTGAGCCACAGTGCCGCTTCTGGCTTTTTCTACTTATGTGGTCCTGAGGAATCGAATCCAGGGCCTCATGCATGCAAGGCAAGCATTCTACCACTAAGCCACCTTCCCAGCCCCAACACATACTTTTAATGTCACTTTTATGAGCAATAACTTGAAAGCATATTAGTTGGTATCTGCAGGTTTAAAAATTAAAATTGGGTGATTTTAACGAGTATTAGCAAGCAATATATAACAGACAATGATGTAAAAATTTAATTCAAAGTATAATATTATATTTGTCAAGTTAACAATTATTAGAAGTAACACATTAAATCAAAATTGCCAAAATATAAGGGCTAAAAGGATTTTTGCACATTTCTTTTTGTTGTTGTTGTTGTTTATGGGCCTGAACTCTGGGCCTGGGCACTGTCCCTCAGATATTCAGTTCAAGGCTAGCACTCTGCCACTTGAGCCACAGTGCCACTTCTGGCTTTTTCTGCTTTGGTGGTGCTGAGGAATCAAACCCAGGGCCTCATGCATGCAAGGCAAGCAGTCTACCACTGAGCTACCCTTCCAGCCCTGATTTTTACACATTTCTATACAGTATAAAAGTTTTATGTTTGTATAGTTGCACATCAAAGATGTGTGATAAATCACAGCTGGGAAAGTATACTAAATGAAAATCCATTATCCTCTCTCTGTGTGTGTGTGTGTGTGTGTGTGTGTGTGCGCGCGCACGCACGTCAGCGCGCACACATGCTCACACAAGCCAGTATGAGGTTTGAATTCAGGGGCCTATTGCTCTTGCTTAGCTTTCCACTCAAGGCTACCTTTTCTTTCTTTCTTTCTTTCTTTTTGGATAGAGATGTGTATTTATTCACTTTACAAAAAGAATGGTATTAAATTATCTCCAAGGCTACCATTTGCGTCAAGTTTTCACTTCATTGGATCTATGAGCCTCTTGGAGTCGTCTGCCTGGGCTGCCTTCAAACCCTGATCCTCAGATCTCAGTTTCCTAAATAGAATTATAGTGAGCCACTGGTAACTAGCTATTATTGTTGTTGTTGTTGTTGTTTTTTTTTGTAAACCAACCCAGAAAGGACTAATAAATGGAGATCAAGCTATTTCCCCAAACTGGTATTATCACCATAGGGAGGTATACAGATGAATGTAGTTTGTTAGTTTGGATGATTAGAACTACATTTACAGAGGAAAGAAGAAAATAACACTATATAGAAAAAGAGTCACATTGAATATCTTCATCTTGGTTTCTCAATGTTAAAAAAAAGAAAGACAGAAGGAATAAAAGGAAGTTTTCAGTTAAAAAAGATGCCTGAAGCATTATGGAGAGGGCTTATGAACTAGTCCCTATTGTTCTAAAAAGTAGACATGGAAAGAAAGAAGGAAAAAAATGAAGAAAGGAAGGAAGGAAGGAAAGAAGGAAGGAAGGAATAAGGGTGGATTTAAATACTTCCACCACTGATTCTGGATTAGATTCTTGAAAATTATTAAAAGGGAAAAGTACATAAATTAGAGGTAAATTTCCTTTTTTGGCGGGGGGGGGTGTCAATCGTGCTTGAACACAGGGCTGGGGCTCTGTCCCTGAGCTTTTTTGCTCAGGCTCTACCACTTCAAGCCATAATGCCACTTCTGGTTTTCTGGTGGTTAACTGGAGATAAAAGAATCTCACAGCCTTTGAACCTGGATCCTCAGCGCTCAGCATTCTGAATAGGTAGGATTAGAGCTATGAGCCACCAGTGCCTGGCTTAGAGTTAAACTTTCTAGGGGAAGTTTTTACTCAAAAAGGGCTTAAATGGTCCTCACTAGACACTATGTTGAAAATGAACTATCCAAATTATGGGTGGGGATGGGAGAGAAAAACAGAAAGAGGAAGGGAAGGGATGACACTGTCTGAAAAGAAATATACACTTTACCTGACTTATAGAACTGTAACTTATATACATCATCCTTATAAAAACACAAGAATACTGAGGACAAAACATATTGTGTTCCTCCTTCCCCTTTTTTTCAGCTATGGGGACTGAACCAGGACCTTGTTCATGCTACCGCTTGAGCTACACTGAGCCTTTTTGTTTTCACTTTGGTTTTTGAGATAGTGTCACACCTTTGTGTACCAGGCTGATCCTCCTACCTTTGCCTCTCAAGTAGCTGGGATTACTGGCATGTACCACTGCACTAGGTTCTAGCCATTATTAAATTAGTAAAACTACCTTCCTAGTCCTCTTAGTTGTTGGTAGTCCTCTTAACTAGCAAACTGCCTCCCTGGTCATAGGCAAGTGCAGGGTCTGAAAGGATCTGAAAGGAAGAGAAAGAAAAGGTGCTGTGTGTTTGGTTTTATATTAAAAAGTCGTGCAGAAGTTGTGTGAGCTTAGAGAGGATGCATAATGTGGGAATAGAGAAGAGAAGTTTGGAGAGTAAGCACTCAGCCAGTGTGCCCTAAGAAAAGAGCATAGCTTATCTGGACTTCTGATTCTTTAACTGTAGGATCAATAGCTTCATTTATTCTATATTAAACATCTTCCATCATGAATAGTTGAATAGTGCATCTGATTAGTGGAATTACAAAGATAGACAGTCTTGGTAAAGATCTTAGTATGAATTGTGCCCACAGCTTTTATTTTCTACTCCAGAACTCTCCTCCAATTACAGATAAGAATTCCCAAGTCTCCAGGATGCAACATCTCCACCCAAGATGTTTCGTGGACATGTAAGATTCAACATGTCCACAACTGCTTATAGCCTTGACTGATACAATTGCCCCATTTCATTTCCATGCTATAGGTTACCTAGTTCCTCATCCAAACTCTCTTTATTTTGCCCACAGTTAATCACCTGGGCTGTATTTTTCTCTCTTCAGTGTAGAGCCATGTTACTTTTGCTCATAGCTAGCATTCTACCAACAGAGCTATAGCTCTACTTCCAGAATTTTGGTAGTTAATTAGAGATAAAGAGTCTTGGAGACTTTCTTGCCTGGGCTGAGTTCAAACCACATTCCTCAGATCTCAGCCTCCTGAGTATCTAGGATTACAGGTGTGATCAATGGGCATCCAACGCTGAAGTTTATTTCTTTATTCATTTTTGTCGGTCATGGGGCTTGAACTCTGGACCTGGGCGCTGTCCCTCAGCTCTTCAGCGCAAGGCAAGCACTATACCATTTGAGCCACAGCGCCACTTCCTCTCCTTAATTTCTTATGTCCTTTTTTTTTTTATCTTATTTTAGTTTTCATTATCTTCAAGTAGTTATACAAAGTCCATTTATGTGTAAAATGTATCTTGATCGATGCCATCATACACTTCCTAAATATCTCTATTTCCAGCCATGGCCTCAAGTTTCCCAGTTCTATTTTCACATATATACATTGAGTATTATGACTATATTCACCAACCTCCATTCCTCTGCTTGTCTGCTCTTCTCTCCTTAAACCCATGAACTTAGATAAAAAATGTTTCAGCTTTATAAATTCATTTTGTTAAACTGTCTGATAATTTTTCGATGTTGTGTGTACATAAATGTGTGCATGTATGTATATATGGTATAATATGATAAAAGCTTTGGAAATGGCTAGGAATAGGAAATAAATAGCTAGGCTATATATAAGAAACTTATGTCCAACATCTTGCTAAATGGAAAACTGAAACCATTTCCTCTAAAATCAGGAATGAATCAAGTGTTCACTCTCTCCATTCTTATTCAGTCTTGTACTAAAATTCTTAGTCAGAACAATAAGGCAAGAAAAATCTATATAAACAATCCAAATAGGAAAGCAGAAAGTCAACTGTCTCTACTGGTGATATGATCTTAAATCTAAAGGACACTAAAAATGAGAAGATTCTATCTCAAAACTCCTAGAGCTGATAAGCAACTTCAACAAGTAGCAGGAAATATATTTAAAAACAAACAAACAAACAAAACAACTTCCACAAACCTCAGCTCTGCTATATAGCAACAAAGAAAAAATGAAGGGTGAAATTAGGAGAACAATTCCATATACAATATAAATAAAATATAAAATATGGAGAAATAAAATAAATATGCAGAAATAACTTGAACCAAAGAGATGAAGGATCTATACAATGAAAATGATAAAACTTTGCAAAAAGACATTGAAGAAGACACCAGGAAGTAGAAAGAACTCTCATGTTTATGGATTGGCAGGATCAGTCATGAAAGTAGCCACAGGTGATTTACAAATTCAATGCAAACTACCTATGAAAATCCCAATGTCATTTTTACATCATTAGTGATGTTTCCCTTTTCCTATTGGTCTCTCTCCAACCCTCTAACCTTTTACATTTCATTTCTTCCCAACCTAAGCCTAGATAGTTAGCAAGCTCCTACTTATTTCTTTTTTTTTGGTCCAGTCGTGGGGCCTGAACTCTGGGCTTGGACGCTGTCCCTCAGCTCTTCAGCTCAAGGCTAGCGCTCTAACCACTTGAGCCACAGCGCCACTTCCGGCTTTTTTTCTTTTTGCTTATGTGGTGCTGAGGAATCGAACCCAGGGCCTCAGGCATGCAAGGCAAGCGCTCTACCACTGAGCCCATTATTTCTTAAATTTTTACAAAAGTTAAAGCAAATCAAAAAGTATCAGAAATAGGTTAAGGAAAGAGAACAAACATAAGAAATCTCACCTGTATCTTGTACAAGAAGAATTTTGACCTGATGGAACTGTAGGTTTGAAAGTGACTCGAGGAGAAATCTGGGCCGAGAGCAGAAATCCCAAGGCAAGAATAATGAGTGCTACAAAAGTACCTAAAAGGAAATAAGAAGTTTTGTATCAGAGTAGTTCTATTTTTTCAAAATAGAAGGGTTTTGATTGAAATATTTTTGTATTACTATGCAATGTAAAACATTATTGTTGGAGCCAAATGGCCAGGTGTCCTGCCTTACCCTCTTTCTATGACCAGATGAATTAATTTGGCTGGCACCAGACCAAAATTTTATTCCAATAGGGCCTTGTGCCTGGCTTCCTCCTTACCTCCAGCTGTGATCCTCTGATGTTACTTATGACTCACCATTAGTTACTTCTGTACCAGCTCCAACCTGACAACTCTAGCATTCCTTCAGACCCGCTATAGATACCCAAGCATGTGAACAAGGAGTGAGTCTGTAGCTCTAGCTGGAGAGTCTCTCTCCTCAGTTTTTCTCCCCAATAAACCTGTGCTGGTGTTGAACAGTCTGTCTATGCTCTTGTCTCTTTTTGTACCTAACCAATTATAATTATCCTTAGAAGTAGTAGCAATAACAGCAGTTACAATAGTAGGAAAAGTGAAGGAAAGCGAGGCTTACATGGAAGACTCAAAGTCGATCTTTTGCAAAACTGGGTCATTACGGCCTTACATCAAAATTGCTTGTTTTCCTGTGTAGAATGTTAGATACTCTGTTGGCTTAAAATTCAAACCACCACTACAAATACTTTAAGACCTTACTGTTCCCAAAACGCAATCAGGCCTAGAATTGAGAAACAGAAGGGAGATGGTAACTATGTATAAGAAATAAACTCTCTCCTCAAATAAAGGAAAATAAACTATGACTGTCAATGCTAATTGAAGAGTCTGAGTCCCTAATTATTTTCCCAAATTACTTCTACAGGATATTGTTGGGGAGCAGGTAAGTTTCGTAAAGAAAGAATGATAAGGCTCCTCTATCCTAATACTTACTAAGTAATCTCTGTGATAAATGAACTTTTAAGATAGTAAGCCCTAGCACAGGGTAATGCCATGGCACAAGTAGCCTATTTGGAAAGTTCTGTAATCTGTAATATGTATCATGAACCTGTTTCTAAACAATCCAAACAACCTGCAAACTATGCAGCATGGATTATTATATAAAACTGTTACAATGTTAAGAGTTCATCTTTCTGGCCATGTTAATTTTCATTTTTTATTTAACTACTTTGGTAGTGTGTGGTTTGAACTTATGGCCTCATATTTGCTCCATTTGAGCTGTCCCACCTAATGCAAGCCTACAGTGCTGCTTTTTGATGGTTATTTAAAGGGGTTAAGGTCTCACAGGCTGTTCTGTCAGGGCTGGCCTTGAAATTCAATCTTCCAGATCAGCCTCTCAAACAGTTGGAATTACAGGCACAAGCCAACAGTAACTGCCTCACATTTGTTTTACTCTCTTCCACTTGGGATGGAAGAATTTTAAAAGCTAGCACTATACCTTTTTCTTTATTGTCACTTTTCCTGATGGAATTAGACAGACTGTGTGGAGTATAACCTGTGTGGAGTTTAACTCAGAATCTGCAGAGATGTCAACTTCAGGTGAGTGTGATGCCTGGACAGGTACAAGTCCCCTTAGGACAAAATACCATCCTGGAAAATGAAAAGTTTGCCTTATGAAATAAGTTTTAAAATGATCACCTGGTCCTTTCTTCTACATGCATGTGCAAAGCAGGAGCTTACTTAAATTTCTTTTCCTTCCATTTAACAAGCTACAGATGTTTTATGAATCACTTGTTAATATTTAAAATTTGTTATGGCTTTTGCCAACTGACTAATTACTGTCACCTAGATGTAAGTATCATAGAGGACTGCTTGAATGAAATAATTTTCTTCAGTTGTAGCACTGTTCAGTTTTTGTTTTTTTTTTTTTTTGGTCATAGGTCTTGAACTCTGGGCCTGGGTGCTGTCCCTGAACTCTTCAGCTGAAGGCTAGCACTCTACCACTTGAGCCACAGTCCCACTCCCAGTTTTCTGGTGGTTAAGATTCCCATGGATATTTCTGTCTGGGCAGACTTTGTTCCAGATTTCATCCTCAGAGATTTTTAAAAAAATTTTTTTTATTGTGAAAATACTGTACAGAGGGGTTACAATTACATGGACAAGATAATGAGTACATTTCTTACCAAGCATTGTAGCCTCCTCCTTTGTTTCCCCTTCCCATCCCTTCCCATCCTCCCCTGCCCCCGCACCCAATACTCTCCCCTCCCCCATCCCCTCCGCACCAAAGTTGTAAAGTTTGTTTTCGACATAACAACTTGTACATCTCATTATTGCAATAGGTCCACCTGTATCCCTATTTAAACGATCTGTTTTTCTCCTTTCCCTACACAAACTATACCGACATCAAATACAGTGAAAGTGGGGGTTATACCGTGGGGGAGGGGCATACAAAGCAACAAAGAAATCATCTTATAAATGTGTTAGAAACAATCGCAAGAAAGAAAAAAAGCATTTGAGTACATATCTTAGGGTTCATTTCCCTAACATCACCTTATCTGACCTTTTCTGCTTGACTCACACATATACTAGATATTGCAAATAAGGGAAATCATGGGACCTATGTTTCTTTGGGCTTGGCTTACTTCACTTAATATAATTTTTTCCAAGCCTTTCCATTTCCTAACAAATGGGGCAATGTCATTCTTTCTGATGGAGGCATAGAATTCCATTGTGTATATATACCACATTTTCTTGATCCATTCATCTACTGAGGGGCATCTGGGTTGGTTCCAGATCTTAGCTATAGTAAATAGTGCTGCAATAAACATAGTCGTGCTGGTAGCTTTAGTGTGGTCTTCTTTGTAAACATTTGGGTAAATGCCCAAAAGTGGGATTGCTGGGTCATAGGGGAGCTCTATGTGGAGTCTTTTGAGGAACCTCCATACTACTTTCCAAAGTGGTTGAACAAGTTTACACTCCCACCAACAATGCAGTAGGGTTTCCTTCTGTCCACATCCCCTCCAGCATCTGTTGTTATTAGAGTCCTCAGAGATATTTTTAAACATTTTTTTCTTATTTTTAAGTAGTTGTACAAAGGTGTTGTAAGTTAACATGTTAGTTTCTGAGTACAATGCAACTTGAGCAATGTCATCCCTTCTCCACATCTCTCACAACCCTACCCATCTCATCAATTTTCCTAGTTTGATAAGTATTATGACTTCCTTCCTCCCCTGCTTTCATTCCTTTCTCTTTTTATTCATATATGCCCCTCCTCACATACTCAATTACAAGCTTGCTGGTATTCATTTTGTTAGACTGTAAATTTGTTATTCAAAGGAGTTATACCATTTGGATCCTCCCCTGCATATACCATACTTCAGTTAATATGTTTGTACACAGGTACCAGCATATGTTTATATATATATATATATATATATATATATATATATATATATATATATATATAAATTAGATTAAACTTTCACATAGGAGAGAAAATGAGTCCTTTTCTCTCTGGGCCGGACTTACTTTACTTAACTTAATTTTTTAAGCCCACCCATTTCTTTGTAAATGATATCATTATTCCAAAAGGATGAGTAAAATACTATTGTCACTTAGTAGAGCTCAGACCGGATCCACGAATCCACATTTTAACATAAGTAGCCTTGAAAATTCTGAGCAAAAACCTGAGTATTATTTTAAAATTATTCCACTAACAAAATACATCATGGAAAAAGACATGTATTTCTGTCTGGCTTTGTAAGACTTATAAGCATTACAGTCATAAACTATAAACTTCTTACTATTTAAAGAAAAAGATTGGGTTAATAACTTGTAAAGAAATAGTTGATTAAGATATATTGTGCTCATAAGCCCGGCACCAGTGGCTCATGCCTATAATCTTAGCTACTCAGGAGGCTGAGATCTGAGGATCGTGGTTCAAAGTTAGCCTAGGCAGAAAAGTCTGTGAAACTCTTATCTTGAATAAACCACTAGAAAACTGGAAGTGGAGTTGTGGCTCAAGTGGTAGAGTGGTAGCCTTGAGCTGAAGAGCTGAGGGACAGCACCCAGGCCCAGAGTTCAAGCCCCACCATTGACCCCCTTCCCCCCCAAAAAAGTTTACTTTGCAGTAAACTTTTACTTTGGAGTATTTGTTTGCTCCCCTCCCCCAATACTGAGTTTGAACTAAGGGCTTGTAACTTGCTAGACCGATGAGTACCTGCCTACTACAGCTGAGCTATACTTTCAGCCTTTTTTATTTTACAATTGTCATTTTGTTTATTGTCCCAATAGCTGGGATGAAAGGCATTGGCCACAATGACTAGCTTTCCTCTGATGACATGGAGTCTTGCAAGTGTTTCTAGACCTAGAACTATAATACTCCTGATCTCAGCCTCCTGCATAGCTATGATAACAGGCAAGAACCATCATGCCAAACTATTGGCTGTAAAGGAGTACCTTAACATTCCTGCATGGATTGACCTTGAAGCACAATCCTCTCAATCTGAGCTTCTAAGTGGCTAGGATTACAGGCATGAGACACTGGCGCCTGACTTTGCAACAATTTTTAAAGGATAAATAACTATTAAAATTATTTTGAGGGGGGGAGGATTGAGTGGGGGGACATGGGGAGGATGGGAAAGGATGGGAAGGGGAAACAAAGGAGGAGGCAACAATGCTTGATAAGAAATGTACTCATTACCTTGTCCATGTAATTGTAACCCTTCTGTACAGTATTTTCACAATTAAAAAAATTATTTTGATGTACGACTCTTCATAAGTAAGGAATAATATTGAATCATATTTATTGATGCAATAAATTATTAAAAATTAAAAAAAAATTAAATTCAAATTAAATTTAAATTAAAATTTAAATTACTAAAAAATAATTTTTTGATAGAACAGTATTAAAATAATACTATTCAAAAATCAAATATAAGCTAAGCACTGGTGGCTTGGCCTGCAATCGTAGCTACTCAGGAGGCTGATTTATATAGAGGATCAAGGTTCAAAGCCATCCCTTCAAAAAGCCCTTGCGACTTTTATCTCAAAAGTAATATCCAAAAGCCAAGCTGAAGGCTTGTTTCATGGAGTTAAGTACCAACCATGAGAAAAGCAAGTGTAGTGGGTACAAGGTCCTGAGTTCAAACCCAAGTACTGCTCAACCCTGCATAAAAAAATCAATATATATGTGTATATACATATATTATTTACATATATTTATGTGTATATTATATATTTATACATTATATTATTTGTATATCCATAGTTTACATATGTAATATTTATATTTATACACATGCAGAGATGAGTTAAACAACAAAATCATTAAAGTAAGAAATAACTGAATCAACTGGTATTGAAGTATGGAAGACTCATATATTTTGAGGGTCACATTGGAGTGACAGGAACATACTAAACAAGGCTATTTAGCCCTAGGTCTTATTCAGAAGGTATTGCTTCCACTGGTCACTGTTTTCTGAAAGACTTGTATATATAATTACAACTGAGACCTGCAGAAACAGCACTCCTTGCATCTACATGTGCAGATAAAAGAGGAAAGCCTTTGACAAGAAACCAAGCTTTCCACCTCCAAAATGGCTATATCTACTCTACCAGTTCAACTGCTGTATCATACCAAGGAATCTGATGCTCTCTTGATGGAAGATCCCATGAGAGGGATCACTTCAAAATATTTGAAGTTGGCGGAGCTGAGGTGGTAGTGGGTGTGACTGAAGAAAAAAAAGGTAGGGGGAAAAAGTGACTGCTTATGAGAAGGAGCCCGGGAAGTCTGCTGGTGTTTTCCTCTAAAGTATTGTCATACTACTTTCTTTTCATGGTCAGGGTAGATGTCCTCTTGGGACAGAAGAGCTACATGGAGGTGAAACAAAACCTCACAAGAGTGCTGGTGAGTTCCTATGATAGAGGCTGAATTCAGTGTGGTTAACACAGGAAGTCAAGTCCTTCCAACAGAAATGCTGTGGCAGCTAGAATGTTTTGAGTTCTTTACAATCTGTGCTGTGCAGTATTTTAAATGTTAGACATAAATGCGTTAAATCCATATCACAAGTCTATAAAATATGAACGATAATTAATCCCTGCACAGATGGGGAAATAGGACTTTGCCTCTAGTTACAACAATTCAAACCCAAACAGTGTGGATCTTTGTGAAGAATGCCTCAGAAATTCTGCAGGACTGATAAGAAAGCAAGCATCTTTCTGGACTACAACAGATGAAGGCAGAGGCTGCTTAAAAAAAAGTAAAATCTAAACAGCAGTTTCTCCAAATCTCAAAAGCCAAACCTCAAACTTCAGCACTTCAGTTCTATTTAAAATCAGAACCTCTGAGGAAGCAATATACTAGGATCCCATCAAAAAAAAAAAAGAATGTCCATTCCAAAAAACTCTGAAATCAGTTGCTATCTCTGAGCTATTGACCTCAGAGGTCAGCCAACCCACAGAATTATGGCTGCCATTCTCCTTTTGTTTACCGTGCTAATGAAAGCGCCCAATTCAATGGTAGATGGCTCTGATTATTAGCAAATATATTTTTTATATTGTAAAAATGTATGTTGTCGCAGTGGATGCAGGTTGTTGGACTGAAATACCTATTATGCTTCTTGAGCCTTTTCTCCAGGCTAAACACTTTTGCCTAGTCTTCACAGCTTTATGCAGCCCTTAACATTCACCCCTTTCCCTTGACCTTTCCTACATGCCCTGGTTATGGCAACTTCCTTAGCCTTTGATCCTTCTTCTGTTGCCTCCATACTAATTCTTCAATGTGCTCCTACTACCAGCTGCAGGGGCTTTCACTACTTGGAGAGAGCAGATGGTTGGAGCATCCCTCTAATTCCTTTGTAGGAGGAGTATATCTTCCTGAACTAAGAATGAAATATCTCATCAAAATCTGGGACAAAGATAGCTCATGGCTATAATCCTAGGTACTCAGGAGATTGAGATCCAGACAATCAAGAATTGAAGCAACCCTGGCAGAAAAGTCTGTCAGAATCCATATCCACTTAGCCAGCAAAAAGATGGGTTGGAGTCATGCTTCAAGTAGTAGAAAACCAGCAAAGCAAACAAGCCCAACAAGCACCAAGCAGGTCCTGTGCTCAAACACTGCTATTAGCCAATTTGGAGCAAATGCCACCCATAGTCTGTTTTAGGTTGTTTTTTTTTTTGGGTCCGGTCGTGGGGCCTGAACTCTGGGCTTGGGCACTGTCCTTCAGCTCTTCAGCTCAAGGCTAGCGCTCTACCACTTGAGCCACAGTGCCACCTCCAGCTTTTTTCTTTTTGCTTATGTGGTGCTGAGGAATCGAACCCAGGGCCTCATGCATGCAAGGCAAGCACTCTACCACTGAGCCACCTTCCCAGCCCCATGTTTTAGGTTTAATTTGACTAACAATTCAGTTAATACTGCCCTAGAAAATTTCTCTGAATGGGGACAATTTTTACAAATAATAATATGTACTATTTATGCATAATAAAATAGTACTATTAGATTACAGTTAATTACCAAGTAGGAATGTGCTTCTACATTTGAAATAAAAACCAGAAAATTGTATTAGGTTGTCACATGAAGAGAATGCAAAGATGGGTCCATCTTGTCAATGGTGGGGCCCATCTAGCCTGAAGGCCAAAGAAATCACTTGGTACATGATAGGACAGACATATATGACTACGGTTAGCTGTTACTTCGTGTACTAATAAATTTGTTGGCCTGTGAATGTTGTTATACATATCCAAATGGCCCTTGTCAGAAAAAGGTTCCCCATCCAAGCTAGAGAAATAACAAATAAAATGGGAAGAATTTAAACACAAAAGGCCACATGTCAGTAAGACAGATTTTGCCTTATTTAGCTATCTTAGAAAAGACACTTAACCAATCAGATTACCTCACTCTACTATTGAGGGTCAGTTTCAAACCCAAAGACTCTTAAGAAATTATACGTTTTTGCCAAAGTTTTGAATCAGTTTGAGTAATTTGGGAGGGGAGTCCATGGGATTCTTTAAATACAAGATCATGTCATCTGCAAAGAGGGAGAGTTTACTTCATCTTTCCCAATTTGGATCCCCTTTATGTGCCAGGCGCTGGTGGCTCACACCTGTAATCCTAGCTACTTAGGAGGTTGAGATCTGAGGATCATGATTCAAAGCCAGCCTGGGTAGGAAAGTCTGTGAGGCTCTTCTCTCCAATAAACCACTGAAAAACCGGAAGTGGTGCTGTGGCTCAAGAGGTAGAGCGTTGGCCTTGAGCTGAAGAGCTCAGGGACAGTGCCCAAGCCCAGAGGTCAAGCCCCACGACCGACAAAAAAAAAAAAAAATTATATGTTTCTAGCAGCCCACTGTTCAGTTTTGAAAAACCTCCCTGAATTCCTTTCCATACTATTCTAAGCATAAAATATCACAATGTAAGTAGTTTATGAAGTTTTTCAAACCAAGATAGAACCAAAAAATTATTTTTTACTTTTGTGTCTTTGAGACATGCTCCAAATAACAGAAAAAAACATAGATCCAAGTTATTCTTGCAATTCATTTCTACTCATAAACTAGTTTCTAGGAACATATAGATATGACTAAAAGTTCTTAGTATATATATTTAAGTGGGTATTGTTTTGTCTGTTACTCTAATTGTATATTGTTTAGCTAAGAAGTTATCTTCAAAATGATTCTGTGGTGGCCTTTTTGTCATTCAGACTGAATTCTGCACCTTGGCACTTACCTGTTAAACTACCAAAGGTAAGCTTTCTGCGACCCACTTTCTCAACGAGCCAGACTCCTACTAGTGTGAAAATGAAATTGGTGAAAGCTGTAACTGAAGCCAACCATATTGCGAGTCTGTCATCTTCCACACCAGACATCTGTAGGATGGTGGCGCTGTAATACCTGCAAGGCAAAGAATGCGGTGGTTGTTATCTGTATGTATCAAAGGGACAAAAAGATAAGACCCCCTTAAACATACAAATCATGGTTAATAATGGACTACCAAACAAACTGTTTAAAGAAAAATACAGAAATCCTAGTCAAATATATTTACTTTCTGCTTTTTTTCTTAATCATCAGAAATACATTCATTTTATTTTGTATTATCTTCCAATAGTTGTACAAAAGGGCTTTCAATTCAACATGTTAATTTATTAGTATTGATAAATGTCACTCCTTCCATCATTCTACCTCCATCTCTCCCAACCCTACCTATCCCTTCAAGTTACCTGGCTCCATTTTGTTTTTTTGGGGGTCTGGTCGTGGGGCCTGAACTCTGGGCCTGGGTACTCTCCCTCAGCTCTTCAGCTCAAGGCTACGCTCTACGACTTGAGCCACAGCGCCACTTCCAGCTTTTTTCTTTTTGCTTATGTAGTGCTGAGGAATCAAACCCAGGGCCTCATGCATGCAAGGCAAACGCTCTATCACTGAGCCACCTTCCCAGCCCCCTGGCTCCATTTTCACATACGTACTTTGAATATTTTAATTGTATATGCCCACTGTCTATTTGTATGCCCCCCATTCCCTCCCTCTGACAACATATATTCCAGTTTTCTGGTATTCATTTTGTTAAACCGTTATTCAAAGCAACGATACCACTGGAATCCTCCCTCCAATATTTGTTAGTCAATTTGCTCAAGTCTATACATGTTTCTCTATATATTTATAATTTAGACCTAATTTCTATGTATGAGAGACAATATGTCTCTCTGAGTCCACAGGTCTCCAAACAATCCAACTTATAAACTCAATAAATGGGCAAAAGAGCTAAAGTCTTCTCAGAAGAATTAAAAAATGACCAGTAAATACATGAAGAAATTTTCAACATCCCTGGACACAAAGAAAATGCAAATCAAAACAACATTGACATTCCATCTAACTCCAGTGAGAATGGCCATCACCAAGAATACAAACCACAAGTGCAGGAGGTATGGGGTGGGGGGCGCGGGGAGGAACCCTATTTCACTGTTGGTGGAACTAAGTGCCACACTATAGAAAGCAGTTTGGGGATTCCTTAAAAAAAACCTAAAGATTCTTTAAAAACAAAACATTCCTCAAACAAAACTCTCTGATTTATTAATATCACTCCTGGACATTTATTCAAAAGATTACAAATTAGGATACAGTAAAGACACTTACACACCCATGTTCACTGTTGTATTATTCATCATAGCCAAGTTGTGGAAATAGCTAGATGCCATATAATTGATAAGAACAAGATAATGGTGTCTGTGTGTATGTATGTACATATATAGGAATTTTATTCATCCATCAGGAATATATGTCATTTGCAGATGAGACAGAGGGAACTTGAAAGAATTGTTTGTGTACTGTGTATAATACAAAAAGATCCCCAAATAAAGAGGATTGAGGACTGGAACCTTCCAATGCAAAACATATCTCACCTCTGGAGACAGAGACAGTTGGTATTTTTCACTAAAGCCATCAAGTCCCAAGTCTGTGGTATGAATAAGGAGTCATCATACGCTGTGAACTAATGTCCTTGGAAGAATAAAGTGACTAACTGATACTATTAGAAAACTCAATACAATGGTGGAAATGGAACAGATGAATAATCTCTTTAGAGTTGCACACCAGCCAGTTGCATCTACCTGTACTCTTAGACATTCAGGAGCCTGAGATCTAATGATCTCAGTTCAAATCCAGCTCAGGCAGAAAAGTCCAAAAGACTCAATCTCCAATTAATTTGCAAAAAGAGTCGGGCTGGATAATGGCTCAGGTGGTAAGAGTGCCAGCTGACCAAGAGTAAGGCCTTGATTTCAAATTGAAATAGAAAACCAAACAAAAACTCTCCAGAAAAGAGTCAGGATGTAGATCGCATTGTATAAGCACATTGGAAACAGACATTTGTACATAAGAATGGTTTTTACTCATCCAGCACATGCTGCAGAATCAGGCTCCACATTTTGTGCTAAATAGGTTCACTGGAGACTCAATCTTAAAGACCCTAAAGCCTGTTTGCAGATACACAATGTAAGAATTCCTGGCACAGTTAAGGATACACACAACACTTCTACTCTGGTGGATACATTAGTATCTTTGTTAGCTCATTGCTTTAAAGTTGACCTGAAAGAAAGCAAATGATACATGATATAGATGATAGTAACCAAATCTTAAAGGTTTGGCTTAGCCTAGAGTTCCATCCATTCTAAAGCTGGGTATTTCCACAGTTAAATATCTACTGTTTTCCCAGATATTTATCAATACTTTCATGTAGTTAAAAAACAAAATCTATTTTCAGTATGCTTATGTCTCATTGATTAATCAATGACTTGTTTACTACTTTTTAAATTCATGATGGATATCATGTAAAATATTAATGTCATGGATCCATTCATCTTGATAAAAAAGTGCTCCTTTATCTTAAAGCAGTAAACTAAATTTATAAATTACTATGCAGCATGAAGAATGTATTTGACAGACTAAATATCATACCATCTGTTTTGGGATTTTTTTTTTCTGATTGTATGGGGTTTGAATGCAGGGTACTTTTGGTAGGCAGGTATCTAACACGTAAGCTATGCCCCATCCCTATTTCAATTATTTTTCAGATAGGATCTCAGTTTTCTGCTCTGCTCTGGTCTCAAAATTTATTGTCCTATCTATGCCTCCCCCATCCAAGTTGGGATGACAGGCATCTATTACCATGTTCAGCTTCTCAACTGAAAAGCATTTCACTAACTTTTTGCCTGGGCAGGCTGTCAACCAGATCTTTTTCATCTCTGCTTCCTGAGTAGCTTGAATTAAAGGTGGGCACCACTACACTTGGCTAAGAATGAACTCTGATAACAATTGAAAAGAGAAATTCTCAGTGTAGTTACTGTAGTGTACTCCTATCCCAATAAAATTGTAAAATTTTGTAGTCAGAATATAAATTGATGATAAAAATTACGATAACAATCCATCCCATCTTAATTTTGCTTTACAATTTTCAAGTTCTGCTTATATTTTCATAAACATCTATCCAGAAAAGTTAAACTTACATGTAAACAGTAAGTAACATAAATATATACTCGAAAAAGGCAAAATAGAAACATTGAGAAAAAAATCCAAATATTTAAAGACAAAAAAGACTGGATACTTGCCATGTTACTGAATTTCAGAGTCTTCTCAATGTTTTATCTACAGGACCAGATATATTGCACAGAAGAAAAAAGAACCATGAAACCAGGTTCCAGTAGCTCATGTCTACAGTCCTAGCTACTCAGGCGGCTGAGATCTGAGGATCAAGGTTCAAAGCTAGTTCAGACAGAAGAGTCTGTGAGACTCTTTTATCCAATTAACCAGCAAAAATCCCAGATGGAGCTGTGGTTCAGGTGACTAAGCACCTAAAATAGTCAAGTGAGAATGTGAGGCTCTGAGGAAAGCCCCAGCACTAGTGTGCATGCACACAGGCACATGCACACACACACACACCTCTCAAGTAATTTTATATTTCTAAGTTGTGATACAATAAAATCATGAATTTCTAAGTGTGAGATAGACAATATGAAGGTAATTGTATCAAACTAAGTTGTTTGCATTTTATTCAAATAAAAAATTATGCAAGTATGAAATGTTATTTTATGAACACAAATGTTTTCAAGGCAGAGTATAGTCAAACACTATCTTGGGATAGGAAATGTGAATTCTAAAGACATGTCTTTGGTGAGTTATATTACATTTATTGAGTGCCTGCTATATAAGAAGCCATGAGTTACTAAGGGCTCATAAATGTTATTAGATGCTGCTGCCTTTGAGAGATTCACAGTTAAGTATTAAGAGAATGAAATGGAAATGAATCACTTTAGTATCGCATACTAAGAGATACAAGTTACTGTATGCTAATTAGATTTGACATTTGACATGGAAGGCTACTTGATTATAGTTTATGTTGAGTCCTGAAAGCCCACATGGGGTTGGCAGGAGCTAGAACAATCTGGAATAGTGGCAGAGGTGGATGATGTAACATAGACAAAGCATAAAAATCCGAAATAGCATGCTGGGCTCAGAAAACCCATAGATTTCACTGAACATAAGGTACATATGAAAGCAGAAGTGGGACCTGAGGCTGGAGCAGAGCTTCTGTGGTGGACGGGCTGTAGGGGAGGTGTTATAAACTTGGGCTTCATTTTGTCAGAGATAGAGTCATGAAATGAATTTTGGAGTCTAGTACCATGAAGAAATCTGTCCTAGAAAGAAGATGGCTATGATGACAAAGCTGAGTTGCTACATTCAAGGAAAACTGTACCAATACCAAATGTCTATCCAAGCCATTTCCATAGCAATAAGACAGCTGTGGCTTATCTGTGCATGGACAGTGAGCAAGAGTTGAAATTCACTGATGGGCTGGCAAGAGTTGTCACCCTCAATGAATCTTTTCCTGAGTGGTCTGAGTTTCAGGTTCATTTTGATTTCTCTGACACTGAGAACAGTATTCATCTTTCACTGCTACCATAACAAATCACCACAAACTTAGTGATCTAAAATAATCAGATTTAACTGAGTAATACCAGTTAAGAGACAGGAGAATCATCAGTTGGAGAGCAATGTTTCAAAACCAAAAGTGCTTGAGGGCATGGCACAAATGATAAGGTAGTTCCTAGTATGGATGAAGCCCTGGGTTAAAATACTAGTACTGCAAAACAAAGTAAAACAAAGCAAAACAAAAACAGCAACAACAATAACAAAAAGCCAATCAAACAAACAAAATACCCAGAGGTGGCAGTAGGGACATGTTCCTTTTCTGAAACTCAGCTGTTACAGTTTTCCTAAACTCCCAGGCTCCTGGCCCCTCATTTTTGTGCCTTCCATCTGATCTCTCCCTTTGCCCCCCTTTTTCTTCTATGTTTAAGGACACTCACTCTGAGTAATCAGCAGATGTGATTCAGTCTGTAACCTTA